TTAGTTCCTGTTAGTACATGTGCTGCTGCATTCTGAATTAGCTGGAGAGTTTTTAAAGACTTACCTGATACCTGCTACCTGATAATAGGGAGTTACAGTAATCCAACCTAGAGGTAACAAAAGCGTGGACCAATTTTTCGGCATCTTTTCGGGTCAACAAGAACACTGAGAACAACTCATAGTAAACTGAAGCCTCTGAAGAGAATCTGACAGGAAAAGATGTGGAGCAATCCAGTTGACAGTGTGAGACTTTTTTTTACTTTTTCCCATGAAACTAGTCTCTCTCTCTGTTTTCACTTTCTTTATTGTGCACAAATGTATTTACAGAAATACAAACAGATGCACAGAAAACGAACAAAATAATAACATTTTATAAAGCCAGAGTTTAAGTTATATGCATCATATTATAATCATTTAATATCTCAAAGGTCTTAATAGCTTTTTTTGTTCTTGACATTAGATATCATGGTGCTAATTCATTTTGTTGTGTCATTTGTTGAAAATTTCTGATCTTTTTTCTTAGTGTTGAATTAAGGGTGATTGGGAGGGTTTTTTAATATCCTCCTTCTGTAATCTTTCTTGCCATAAAAAATCCCCAATAAATGATACATTTCTGTAATACTAAAGATGTCACCAATCAATTTGAGGAGGTAAGACAGTGATATCAAATTCCAAGGAGGCATAACATACCCTTTTATGTAAACTGATCCCAAACTCTTTTTTTTTGGTATTGCTGATTTAAGCTAGAGTAAGCATATTTATTGTACAATTTATTTCACACTTGTTATTTAACAAGCACATTTTTCTTTTCCTGTTCAATATTATAAAGTAAGACTATGTGTAAATTTCTATTAAACTTTATTTCTGAAGTATGTCCACCTTTCATACAAGATAAAGCTGTCTTTCCTCACTCTCACAACAACCCCCTCCCTTCTACATCCTCCCTTAATTCTCTCCCACTGAATTTCATTTAACACATTTTATTGAGGTGTAAAAAACTAATTTTTGAAGTCTGAAATTCATTGAATACATTTAATTGGGTCAAACAAAAATGTTTGAGTTGTGTTTTTCTCTAGCAAGCTAGTCCAGCGAGCAAAAATGGCCTGCAAAACACCTAGCATAATCCAGCAAGTCCATAAATGTTTTAATGATTGATTAGGGTACTGCACACATGAAGAGGTTGGGAACAAATAATCTAGAGCACACAAGAGCAAAAACAATGGTTCCCTATTGCAGGGTTGATCATTTTCTTTATAAGCAGAGCCTTTTAGTACTGTCCCAATCACCCAAAACCATGCTGTACCTTTCATCCAAAGTGTGTTTGGGTTAAACAACAACAACAACAACAACAAAAAAAAAACCAACTTGATTTCAAAAGCAGACACAAGATATCAACACATTTTTACAATAGTACATCACAATTATGTTTCAATCAAAGGTTTGTGCAAAATATTAGCTATGACAATTCTATGACCTTGTGATTAAAACTAACTAAAGCTCATCAATTCATGGCATCATGCATTGCAGAGTCAACTTCCCGTTTGAATCTTGCCCCACTGGCTTATGTGATGTCAACACTTGACTCTGTAGCTCCTCTTAAAAAGAAGTTAACAAAGCCAAGAAAGTTCGCTCCTTGGTATAACTCTCAAACCCGTAAGTTAAAACAAATATCGCGAAAGTTTGAAAGGAATTGGCGATTAACCAAACTGGAAGAATCTCGTTTAATCTGGGCAGACAGTCTCAAAACTTATAAGAGGGGCCTCCGCAATGCCAGAGCAAACTATTACTCAGCTTTAATAGAAGAAAACAAAAATAACCCCAGGTTTCTTTTCAGCACTGTAGCCAGGCTGACTGAGAGTCAAAGCTCTATTGAGCCTTGTATTCCTTTAGCCCTTAGCAGTAATGATTTTATGAGCTTTTTTAATGACAAAATTCTAACTATTAGAGGCAAAATTCATGACCTCCTGTCCTCAGATAGTAGGCCTACCTATCTAACATCAAACACAGCTGTAAGGCCTAATATATATTTAGATTGCTTCTCCCCAATTTCTCTTCAAGAATTGACTGCAGTGATTTCTTCATCTAAATCATCAACGTGTCTCTTAGACCCCATCCCAACTAGGCTACTTAAGGAGGTCTTACCTTTAGTTAACACTCATATATTAGATATGATCAATATATCCTTATTAACAGGCTATGTACCACAGTCTTTTAAGGTAGCTGTAATTAAACCTCTACTAAAAAAGCCCACCCTGGATCCAGAGGTGTTAGTCAACTATAGACCAATATCTAATCTTCCCTTTATGTCAAAGATCCTTGAGAAAGTAGTCGCAGACCAGCTGTGTGATTTTCTCCATGATAATAATTTATTTGAGGAATTACAGTCAGGATTTAGAGTGCATCATAACACTGAGACAGCACTAGTTAAAATTAAAAATGACCTTCAGACAAAGGACTCGTCTCTGTACTTGTTTTATTAGATCTTAGTGATCTTAGGCAACATCATTAGAAATCACTCTATAAATTTCCATTATTATGCGGATGATACACAGTTGTATTTATCGATGAAGCCAGAAGAAAATAATCAATTAACTAAACTCCATAACTGCCTTAAAGACATAAAAAACTGGATGAGCACCAATTTCCTGATGTTAAATTCAGACAAAACTGAAATTATTGTTCTTGGCCCCAAACAACTCAGAGACTCTTTATCTGATGACATAGTTTCTCTAGATGGCATTGCTCTGGCCTCTATCACTACCGTAAGAAACCTTGGAGTAACATTTGATCAAGATTTGTCTTTTAATTCTCATTTAAAACAAACCTCACGGACTGCATTTTTTCATCTGTGTAATATTGCAAAAATTAGGCCTATCCTGACCCGAAAAGATGCAGAAAAATTGGTCCACGCTTTTGTTACCTCAAGGCTGGATTACTGTAACTCTCTATTATCAGGTAGCTCTAGTAAGTCCTTAAAAACTCTCCAGCTAATTCAGAATGCAGCAGCATGTGTACTAACAGGAACTAAGAAACAAGATCATATTTCTCCTGTTTTAGCTTCTCTGCACTGGCTCCCTGTAAAATCCAGAATTGAATTTAAAATCCTACTGTTAACTTATAAAGCTCTAAATGGTCAAGCTCCGTAATATCTTAGAAAGCTCATAGTGCCTTATTATCCCACCAGAACACTGCGCTCTGAGAACGCAGGGTTACTCGTGGTCCCTAAAGTCTCCAAAAGTAGATCAGGAGCCAAAGCCTTCAGCTATCAGGCTCCTCTCCTGTGGAATCATCTTCCTGTTACGGTCCGGGAGGCAGACACCATCTCCACATTTAAGACTAGACTTAAGACTTTCCTCTTTGATAAAGCTTATAGTTAGGGCTGGCTCAGGCTTGCCCTGTACCAGCCTCTAGTTAGGTTGACTTACGCCTAGTCTGCCGGAGGACCCCCCTATAATACACCGGGCACCTTCTCTCCTTCTCTCTCTCTCTCTCTCTCTCGTATCCTATTACTGCATCTTGCTAACTCGGCCATTCTGGATGTCACTAACTCGGCTTCTTCTCCGGAGCCTTTGTGCTCCACTGTCTCGCAGGTTAACTCATATCGCAGTGGTGCCTGGATAGCGTGACGTGTGTGGTTGTGCTGCTGCCGTGGTCCTGCCAGATGCCTCCTGCTGCTGCTGCTGCCATCATTAGTCATTAGTCATACTTCTACTGTTATTATACACATATGATTATTATCACACATGTATACTGCCAGATACTAATATATACTTTCAACATATTGTACCACAGTAGCCAGAACTATAACGATAATATTATTACTTTCATTAATGTTGTTGTAAGCTACTGTCATTACCGTCTGTCCTGCATCTCTCTCTCGCTCTCTCTCTCTCTCTTTCTGTCTCATTGTGTCATACGGATTACTGTTTTACTGTTAATTTATTATGCTGATCTGTTCTGTACGACATCTATTGCACGTCTGTCCGTCCTGGAAGAGGGATCCCTCCTCAGTGAGGATCCAAAGGACAGAGGAATGTTGTATGCTGTAAAGCCCTGTGAGGCAAACTGTGATTTGTGCTTTATAAATAAAATTGATTGACTGAATTGATTGACCTATGAGGGCATGCAATTTTGATTATGTGGTTTCACAGCTATGGCTAAGCAAACGATTGTTTTTTCCCCACTCATCAGAAAAAAACCTGTATAGTCATACTGTCCCATTAGACCTTATGTCCCAATCACTATCACTATCACCCACTATGAAATTTTCCAAAAATAATAAAAGAGTTGTATGAGATGCAGTGTATTATTTCCAATCTTAACTTGACTAACATATAGCATTATCTCAAACATATTCATTTCAACATTTATCTTAAGTTTCTTTTTAGGAAGTTGGCAACATCAATTCAAAACATTCTGATGTAATGATAGCAGAAAAATAAATGACACACACTCTCTTTTTCCAGCACACAGAAATCACACTTTATAATCCATATTCAGCTAACACAGGCTTTATCCGGTAAATTCAATGTAATACCTTGAAAGATAGGCCTACTTCTTTTTAGCAATTTTGTATAAGTATAAGGATTTTACAGGTATTTTGAATTTATCCAGAAATTCTTTGTATGTCAATAATTAAAGATTGTTACCAAGCAATTGGGATACATGTCTGTATCCCATATTGACACTGGTCTCTTCAATGAAACTACAGACTGTGCTGTCGTCATCAACCTGGCGCAACGAGCCTGTACTCCACTACCGTTACTTTGTCCCGCCCTCATTTCCTCTGTAACACAATTTTTTATTTTCTTTAAAGGAAATCTCTGTCATTTTTCTATGTGTTTAGAAAAAAAGCACAAACCCGACCACTTATTTAACTTTAAATCTCTGATAAATTTTTTAAATTATTATTTTAAAGCTCTAAATGACGCTTAAAGAGATCCGTTTGGTCGTCTGTCAATCAAAATTCTCTCATCATGTTAGGTTGAGGCAGCAGAGCTTTTCCACGTCAGTGTGTTTACCAAGAGCAGATAGACAGCTGCTGGAAGGTGTTCCATTTATTCACTTATGGAGGATTTTTTTGGAAGAGTGAATGAATAAGTGGTGTTTGGAAACAATACGTTATCACACCGTGGAATGTCCGAAATTTTCCGTTAATCCTGCTGTCGTAGTGAACTGAACTTTGGTCTTCTTCATTGAGGGTTGGCCGGCTAGCCTGCTAGCTTGCCGAGCTAGGCTAGCAGTATCTACAGCAGGACTCCATCTTTGAAATAGCAGCTATATACAGGTAATATCATTATTTCTAGTAAAAGAAAAGCGTGCCTATGCAGAGGACTGTCAACAGTCTTCAGTGTGGTGGAGAGCTAGTCTGGTAGCTTTGCCTTTGAGTAGGCGCCTGTGCCTGAGCTAGTTAATCTCATTAGCCAGCTAGTACCAGCTAACGAATGTTAGCTAACGAATATTAGCTGGCATGTTTGTTTTATGATCGTATTGTGTTGCACCAATAACATGTATTTAATGTTTCATTATGACTATGTTAGAATAACGTTGGGAATGTCAGGAGCCCTGGCATTAGCTGACTGTTTCTGTATATCTGTAAAGGTACAGGCAGAGATGGTGTGCTGCCAAGCTGATATCCTGCTGGTTAGCATTGATATATAAGTGCAAGTTTGTTGAACAGTGATTTATGTGCTTTGTCGCCATCCTGACCTCCAGTGTCACTAGGAAAACCCCTATCATGGAAAGACGGGTGTAAAAATCAGCTGTTAAGAAAAGTTGCTCTATAAACACTTCAAAGTAGTATAGCCAATATTCTAAAAAGCAGGGAGCCCCTCTGATCCCTGAGCAGTCATTCAAACGTAGCATAAGGTACTGATCTGGAGGGGAGGCATGTAAACTCTTAAGATTATTTTGAATGAGCAGAAAGCAGTAATTGGGACAATTTCTGATTGAGAATGCCAACTTTCTTGTTTTCCTGTCTGGTACTCAGGCACACACCACAACACATCCAAAGGAATCCTGCAGAACCTGTTAAATTTTTCCTGCTCAGTGAAGGCCCTCTTTATACCTCGTATAGAGAATGAGAACAACAAAGGCCCATTTTACACCAGGGGCCTGTTTAGGAGAGCAGGTTTAACAAACTCTGAGTCTAACCCTGAACTCTGAGTTGACTGATTTTTTGGTTTCAGTCAGTTCAGTGAGTACACTCACTCTGCGTTAAGCTTGTGCACGGTGGATAAGAAATGCCATCATCAATGGAGCGCCAATACTATGATTTACTATGGCAACAGGTAAATTAAAGAGCACCTCAATTTTAATCCGGTGGATGTAGCGATATTAATGCAAAAATATGCATACTGTGCACATTTATTTAAAAAAGAGAGTGGGAAAAAGTGTCAATACATTAACACAGTAAAGTTTTATTCAGTGTTATCCATCATAAGGTCATAGCCTACATAACATTTTAAATATATTTGTATAGCTTTAATCTGACAATGACAAAACACAGGGGCCAGCAACTGAAAATTAAAAAAATATAGTCTCTAACATTTAAAATACATTTATTTGTATCAAAGACAGAGATGTGATTGTAAGCTCACAGTCTGATCCAGTAATAATTTTTTGGTGATTTGCACTTATAAAGGTGTGAAGTTAGATAGATTTTAATTTGTAGAATCTATTTGAATCTTTGGACCAACAGTATTCTGTGGCTTTACTTTAGCTGCTTTAACAAATGTAGGCTATATTTAAAACAGCCAATGAAATTCTGTTAAAATCCATTCAGACTATACACAGCCCATTTCAAAACTTAATTTCATTCTGCAGCTGCACCACAATCCTGCTCATTATAACTGTGAACATAAATTCTTCAATATTATAGGAATTATGTTCCATTAATGGGACCAATCACATCATGAGTGACAGGGCCTAACGATTTTTACAATTTAAACCCATTTTTAAAAAACAATACAAAATAATTTTATTTCTATGATTGAAACTGAGATGACACGTTATATGCAAGAAACATTTAGTGGAAGTGTTCTAACAAACTGACAGCTGTGTAAAGAGTCACAGTGTTACCTTAAAAAACAAACAACAAAAAAACCCTAGCACTTGCAAAAAGACATGCAGAGGTTTTATTCTGAGTTGGTTGACTCAAACTCGGAACCTATTGTCTGATGATGATAAATCATATGCATATTCTAAAAGAATTTAGAGGTGACTTAATGGTGTGTGATATTTTAATGTGAGGGCAAAAACTGCTGTTCAAAGAAATGACTGACAGCACATTAAACCGGTAACTTTAGCTACTTCTAAGTAACAAACTGATATCCAACCAGGATTTTGATTCTGACATATAGTAAACCTCTGCTTTTTAATGCACTTTGATATGCGCTTTGATACAGACTGAATTAGTGAGGAAATGAAACTGCGTGTCTGGCTCTGTAAGAAGGAGGAGACAGTGAGAAACTCAGGGTTTGTTGAAGAAAACCTGCCAGCGAGTGGGTTAGGTTCACAGAGTCAGTTACCACAGTTATAAGGCCCGTTTCCACTGAAGAAGTTCCTGGTACTATTTCGGGGGCAGGAACTACTACAGGAACGTCCTCTTGCTCGGCCCTCTCAACCGCCGTGTCTCCACTGAGAGAGCGGAGTAGGAGGAAGGTTCCTGTAAAGTTACCGGGCTCTGTATGTGACGTAATCGTTGCGCAACCATTTTGACCGGGGCGACGTAGGGGCGTAGGGGCGTAGGGGCGTAGGGACGCCGTTAGCTGTTAGCGGTGTCTGTAATAACTCCGGTCACGGTCCGTGAAAAAAATATTTTTTCCAGCGGATGTCTTAGTTACAACATGATTGAGCTAACTGGAGTAGTTTCATGTCGTATCCGACAACGGGAGGCTTTTAACAGATGACATCCTTATGTTAGCTTTGCTGCTGCTGTTAGCTGTCCCTGTCAGCTGATGCTTTCTAGACATCGTGATTTCCCAAAACTGAATAAATACCACACATAGCAACACAAAACTGCTTTGCTAGCTCAATCATGTTGTAACTAAGATATCCGCTGGAAAAAATATTTTTTTCACGGACTGTGACCGGAGTTATTACAGACACCGCTAACAGCTAATGGTTAGCGCAGCTAATCTACGATACACAACGTCACATCCCGCCTTGAGTATATACAATCAGCACCAAATAATCCCCAAGCCCCAGCCAGGAGTCTCTCGGGGCCGTTCTGAGTACCTACTCCAAGGCAGGGACTTGTTTAGCCCTGTAAAAGTTCCGGAACTCTGTCCTTCGGGGGTGGTTCCTGCGGTGGAGACACGCACCAACGGTCCCGGCCACGTAAAATTACCCCGAAGTTCCTGCGGTGGAAACGGGCCTATTGACTCAGACTTTAACTTACCTCTCTTTCTGAAACAAAGCCTAGAGTTTCTCTCAGCTCAGGGTTAACCAACTCAAAGTTTTCATTAAACCAGCTTTCTGAAACAGGGTCCTGGTATAGAGAATGTGAACAACAAAGGCCCAGTGTACACCTTGCATAGAGACAATGTACAACAAAGGTCTTATTTAAACCTGGCATAGAGAATGTGAATGTAAGGCCCCGTTTATACGACAACGATTTCAACTGAAAACGGTAAACTTAAGTTGCGTTTTGGCCGATCGTTTACACGACAGCGGCGTTTTGGGTGCCTGAAAACGCAACAATTTGAAAACTGGTTCCAGAGTGCAACTTTTTGGAAACGGCAGCATCTCCATTGTCATGTAAACTTGCAATATGCAGTTCCTCTGAAAACGGAGACTTTTTGCACATCTGTGCATGCGTTCGCCATTGTGTCTTCTTTGTTTTGATTTGTAATCACCGTGTTGTACAGGAAGGCGTTTCAGCGCAGGCGCATGGCTTCATGCGGTGGTGTTGCTTTGCAAATTTACACTGCCACCCATTGGCCTGGTGTGCATACTACAGCGTTTCCAGTAGATTTTGCAGCTCCGTGTGAACGGGGATCGTTTCAATAACGTCGTCATATAAACGCAGAAGTTTTTTAAAACGCAAAGGACAGACTTTTCTGTTTTTAGAGAAACTGTTGTCGTCTAAACAGTGCCTAAGTCACACTCTGTGGGCAGTGTTGTCATGCGAGTTATGCTCCTTTATTTTTATTACCAAAATATAGCCACATTGAAGGACTTCCATGCTTATCCGACTGAAACTGTGTGTGTGTGAGTGAGAGACAGACAGACAAACAAACAAGGACGGGCTGAGCCAATCAGTGCGCTGTGCACAGTTCTACAGTGACATAAGATTTTACCCATTTTAGATACTAAAGGCTGTAAGTGTGTGTATAGCATGACAAATCTGCTGTTTACGATGAACAACAACAAGTGTGGTCTTTGCAAATGGAGATGATGTACTTGTTTATCTGCAAGATTGGGGAAGTCCTGAGAGAAGTCCGGAGACCTGATCACAAGTCAGGGCTTCCCACACGTTTATGTACTTGTGGCGGCCCGCTAGGGCTGGGCGATATGTCGATTTTGTACAATGTATTGATATATTTTCAGGAAAGATATAGATTTAGCGTTTGTAGTGATATAGGGTCAAGTTGCGTCACATTACACACACCAGTGTTTAGAGTTGGGTACCATTCATAATTGAACCGATACGGTAGCGGTACCGGTATCTGGAATTCAGTACCGGAACCAAACGGTACCTTATTTTGGTACTTTTTAACCCTATGGGCCCTAGGCTTTTGGGGTATTTTTGCTGCCTTTACTTTTAAGCTCATATCACAGTCATTATAAAGGCTACATACACATGCTATATCTTGTTTTTTTCAGGACAATCTGGGCTAACAAGATTTGCCATCATTACATGTCCTCCTATGTGCCTGTATTTTATATTAATTTTTATATCAATGAAAAAAACAAATCCGTGTGCCTAAATTCTTACATTTTTACATGTACCTCTACCATAGCAAGTTGGAAGTTGACATATTCTGCCATATATGAAGAGGGGAGACTCTCTGGAATCTGGCAATATAAGAACCATGATGCTGGGACATTCTGTCACTTCACAGTTGTCCAAAACATGTGGTTTGTGCCAGGTGGACATAATTGCCAGTATTTTTTCATTATTGCAAGAAATTCCATTGACTCATTCACAAGACAAAAATGTGTTTTATCTGAAAGAAACATGCAATATTTACATCTAAGATAATAGAAAAATAGTCAACCAAGTGCAATGATGTCCTCCAAGATAATATTTGTTTTTCAGTTTCAGTTATATATTGGGGGGAC